TAAAGCCATGATCATCAGAAAAAGTTCAATTTTCTAATTTGTTGCTATCTGTCAGACTACGAGAAGCAGGGAAATGGAATAATTTCACAAAAATGCAGGACGAGAAAATGTGTCTAAATATCCAGTCCAGTATTAGCCTTCCTGAGCTGTTTCATTTCTATCAGTAATAAGAAATAAATACTGGAACACCTAAATCACTGTTTAACCTAAGTCCTCAGTGGCCAGACACACAGTAGGAACTGTATTGTCAATAATGGGTGAGTATACTAGCAAAAGCATTGTAGTGTCTTAAAACTTTAGGTATCAGTAGAAATTTTGTGACCAGTCACCCTTGCTTAAAAGTCTGGGACTTCTTCACAAGCATCTTAAAGTCTGTTATGAATCACACAAACCACAAAAGGACTGGATGCTAAACTAAGGAAAGTAAGCACTGCGAATCAGGTGGGAGAAAAACTGAAAAATTTTAAAATCAGTACAAAAATTGGTACCTGCAGGTTATCTTAAATGTGATTATTTGATTACATGAGCTATAAGACAACCGAAAATCATTTAAAAAATATTCTATCCAAGTGAGAAACACTAGGCATAAAAGAGAATATAATTAATATCTCTTAACCAATGCACCAAGGTGTTATACATCTGTTATCTAATATAGAACCCCTAGTGTAGATCCTAAGATTATACTCAAGTTGTTAAATCAGGTAATTTTTGCTGTTTTACTTACGCTGTGAGCAGAATTATAGTTACCGACAACATGTTTGGTCTGTGTGGTTTTATCCATGCTGGAATTATACAGAATAGATGAGTAAAACAAACTGGCATTTCAAAAATGCAACCACAGACCTATAATTATAGCCACAAGCAAAGTTAAACTGTTTAACAATCACAATGTAACAAAAATGGAAAAATTTATCAAAATGCTCTGAATTCACATAAAATTAATCACAATAAAACTCTAAATGTGATTTATTAACATATTTTTTAACATCCCATATCACCACAATCAACTGACTAGGTTTTGGAAATCTTAATTTAGGTCTAGGTATGAGCTCTGGTAGTCAGTCAGTATGCATGGAGAAAGGAATACAAATAATGTTTCACTCCTGTTTTTGCCAGAATCTGTTCATCCTTCAGGGCTCAGCTCACATTCATTAAACAAATATTTACTTAGTACCTCTCATATGCCAGATATTGTTCACGGCCCTAGAGCGGTGCTGTCCAATAGATCTTTCTGGAAATGTTCCAATATAAGATGTAGTAGCACTGGCCAAAATGGTGAGTGAACATCTGAAATGTGGTTAGTGCAAACTGAGGAAATGAATTTTTATTTTTATTTCACTTTAATTATTTTAAATTAAAGTAGCCAAATGGGGCTAGTGGCTACCATATTAAATAGCCAAATGGGAGTAATGGCTAACATAGTTACAGCCCTAGTGTTACAGAGGTGAACAAGACAGACAAGGATCTTGCCTTCATGAAGTTTATATTCCAATGTGAAAGAAAGATATTACAACAAAAACCAATAAGTGTATTATTTCACGTGGTGTCTGCAGTGGATTTCTTCCGGGAAGGGTGATTACAGATGGCCTCTCTAAAGAAATCTGGATTAGGTGCCTCCCCTCCTATATGCTCCCACAAAAGCTATACTAACATACAGTGCAAAACTAATGAAAGGCCTTTTCTTGTTCAGCTGTACCCAGCAGTAACCACAAAAAATATTTCTTGGCCACTGTGTGCAGAAATAATTTACAAAACTCCCACAACTGACCCACTCATGCACTGTTCAAAATATACCAGAGGCTAGCAGCTCAAAAATGTGGGAAGAGAGCAGAGCAAAAACATTCTGCTGTCTCTTTCCCACTCAAGTCCCATGCAGCTTTGGAGTCTCACTACAGAACGCAGCAATGCGGAGCAAAGATCGCCGCCTTCTTTTGTTCTTCTCATCCCCAAATTTGTACTCTGAATGACTAATCCAGTTTATCCTTTGCCAAATCACATTCTTCAGTCAACTCCAACTTTATCAACGCTACTCCAAACATACTTTTAACAGGCTGTTTCATACGACACTGCATCTCCTTTTGCCAGTCTTCTTTTACCATTAGTTTACTATGATGGAAAGTTTATTTCTACTCAGAACTTAGAGGCTCTCTGCTGCTCCTATACACTAAACATCATACAGACATTCAATTAAGAGTTAATGACTTTGGGGGAGGAAAGAGAAGCACAGGAGAGGCTATTTATCTATAACACCAACGAGAAACGCTTCGTCTTTTCCCTTTTATACTCGGAAATAATGAGGCAAAAACTGTCTCAAATACTCAGAGTGGTGACTCACAGGATTTAGGAAAAAGAATACAAAGGAAGCTCAGGATGACAGGAAAAATGAGTAATAAGTGAAAAAGGCGAAAACTGGAAATTCTAAACTCGCCCATCGTAACTCGGGGGAGTGAGAGTCACCGCAGGCTGGCCCCAGAGCGAAGGTGCCGGGTGGGCGGCGGCGCAGCCTCCTGCGGACGCCCGGTTAGCTGTCAGGTTCCGCTGCGCCTTTCTGCTGGGGCCGTGGCCACAAGTCACCAGTCCCTCTGTGGCCACAGGTTACCTGCTGGTCTCGAGCGAAGAATAGCGCTCCGGCAAGACCTGGAGGCAGCGCTGGAAGAACCGCACATGTCGGTCACGCAGAAAATCCAGCCGCTCTCCCTCATTGCTCCCTGCCGACTGCTCGTCCTCCGTGGCCGCCATGCTGCTCCGGAAACAACGTCCACCGCGACCCGGAAACAATTGGAGAGCGTCGTGAAGAAGCCGCTAGGAGCGACCAGCAGGGCGCGAGGGTGCGGTGAGAGTGGTGGGCCGAGTAGGGGATTGAACCCGCCACCGTCAACTGAGTCTTACGCAGCGCCTTATTTCCAGTTTCTCCCTAGGTAGTGCACGGCTCATCCTTTCTACTTTTATCTCCAAAGGTTGGGAAACACCTCGCAGTCCAACCCACAAATCCTGTCAGAGTTTTTATCCTATCTTCCATAATTGGGAGTGCAGTTCACGGATCGCTGTGAGTCAGAATTGACTCCACATCAACTGTTTTTTATTGTTGAAAAAGAAACGTTGATAGTGTAGTGGTTAAAGTGATCGGCTGCTAACAAAGGTCACTGGTTGGAACCCACCAGCCCCTCTGCGGGAGAAAGATGTGGCAGTCAGCTTCTTAAAGATTAAAGCCTTGGAAACCCTATGGGACAGTTCTGCTGTTCTATAGGGATGCTATGAGTCGGAATCCACTCGACAGAAGTGGGTTTGGTTTTGGTTTTATTAGGGTGAAAACGTAACACACGAAAACACCTGCAAACACAACTTCCATATTTACAACTCAGTGACACTGATTACATTTTTCATTTTGTGCCGTGACTATTGCCATCTTCATCCAAAACATTCTACTACCATTAACATAAACTCAGTGGTCCCCAAACACAAACCTCCCCTTTGCCTCTCTTTGCCACCCTTGGTAACCATTGATAATCTCTGGTTTCTATATCTTTGCTTATTTCCTGTGAGATCATAAACAGTATTTGTACTTTTGCAACTCCCTTATTTCGCTCAGCAAAAAATTTTCAAGGTTCATCCACGTTGTGCCATGCATCAAAACTTCATTTCTTTTTACAGCTGCATAATACACCACTGTATGTATATACTACATTTTATTTATCCATTCGTTGATGGACACTTCGTTGTTGCTACCTTTTGGTTATTATGAAAAGTGCTGCAATGAACATTGGTATACAGGTTTCTGCTGTATTCTTGCCTTTACTTCTTCTGGGTACATACCTAGGATCAGGATTGCTGGGTCATATGTAATTTTATGTTCAACTTTTTGAATAACTGCCAATCTATTTTCCATAATGGCTGCACCATTTTACGTTCCCACCAGCAATGGATGAGGGCCCCAGTTTCTGCACACAACCTTGCCAATTTGTTTTCCATGGTTTCTGTTTGTTTTTCACTGACCTAAAGGTTGATGGTTTGAATTCACCCCGAGGTATCACCAAAGAAAGGCCTGGCCATCTACTTCCGAAAGATCACAGCCACGGAAAACCCTATGGAGTGCAGTTGAACTATGAAACACATGAGTTGGAACAACTTGATGGGCAACTTTTTTTTTTTTTTTTTTGGTGGTCCTAATTTATTTCTAAACTGCCTCAAATCATTTTAAAAAGTTACAGAGAACAAGCAGAATAAAATGAGCATTCCTGATAAAAGATGTTTTCTGTCAATGCTCTCATTCTGCACCAATAATTCTATAATCAAAATACAGTTTCCAGAATTTGAAAGACATCTACTTTGAATATTAACTGTAAAATAAAAAAAGGTTTTGATCTCTACACTCAAAGTAAATTTCTAACAATCATTTGACCTAAAAGTATCAAATTAGAAGTAAAGATATTCTAAGATAAAAATTGCAAGAAACACATTTTTTTGTATTTATTATGTATATGGTACCCTTCTATAAAATGAAAATGAATTAAAGTTAGGAATTAAGATTTTATAATATAAAAAGTTGGGTTGAATTAAGTTCTATTTTTCATGTACAAAAGTTTGCAAATTTAAAAATTAATATTTTACCAAACGGACATTACTTTAGCAATTTTAAACCACTTTAAATGCCATCAAGAGAAGTCACAGGATTCCAAAGCTAGCTTATTTCAGATGTTTCAGAACAAAGAATTTTGAGATAAACAGAATCAGAAAAGAAAACTGCATAAGCCAGGAAGATGTGAATGACACAAAGATTTTATAAATGTATTAGGTGCAAAAAGGCTGACGGAAAATTTGAAATAGCTGAAGGAAACTAAAAAGATTATATCCATAATACAATTAAAATGTTATGTGAGGAGAGAGGCAAAGTTTTTAAAATAAATACTCTCTATATAAAACAAAGCATGCTTTAAACAAATACAAAATGTTTATTACACAAAAATGTAGTAACTGCCAAATTACCAATCTGTCAAACTTAGAAAAAGTACTTCATAACTCTTAAAAAAAAACTTTACATTTTTGTTATTCAAACTAACTTACCTCCAAGTTTTAAAAATTAAAAAATTTTGGTTTAGAAAATGTCACTCAATGACTGTCCCAATTTATTTTGTTATGTCATGACAAAACAATCTTCAAAATGTTCTGTGCACTTAAATAACGTCTGTAACATAAACTTTTATATCAATACGCCAACATATACATTAAATACCCTTTTAGTAATGACAATGCCAGCAAGGAACTTAGTACCTGTCAATTCACATGCAAGCACAATTAATGATCAATCTGACTAGGCTAGTGATATTTAAAGAACATAGTCACCCTATCTCCCAGCATAACTGAGTATGCTAACATTCTCATTAACTGAATACCAGTTTCATTATCTCATATGCTTCTCTATAATCCTTGTCTCCAGCTTGGAATAGCCCTAAGGAGAAAAAGAGAATAGCTTTATTAACAGAATACATAGAAAACTTAGCAAAAAAAATCCTAACAGATTAAGATCTGGAGCCCTGATGGCACAGTGGTTAAAAGCTTGGCTCCTAGCCAAAAGGTAGGCAGTCTGAATCCACCAGCCACTCCCTGGAAACCCTATGGGGCAGTTCTACTCTGTCCCATAGAGTCGCTATGAGTCAGAATCAACTCGACAGCAACAGGTTTAACAGATTAAGTGTTAACTTTAAAAAAACATATATATTTTATTAACTTTTTAGTGCAAAATATAATACACATACAGAAATTGCATAAAATATGTCAGTTAATTAAATTATTATAAAATGAACAGCCATTTTAATTCTTGTTTACCTATGTGGGATATACAGAAGTGGCCCAGAGCCTGTTGGTCCTATCTTTTTGGTCCGTTCTTCCCAACCTTTGGTAGGTTTGTAAAGCCTAGAAGGATCTCTACTAACATTGTTTTCAACCTGTAATCAGAAGTAAAATGAATGCCAGTTAATTTATATGAACTATTAAGTTTGTATTAATAAGTAAGATCTTTGGTAACAGCAGTTTTAAAAAACATTTTTACTATTAGCTGAACAGTAATAAAACTATTAATAACCTCTTCAGTAAAATTCTAATATGCTCAACTGGCTAAAATAAAACGTGGACTACATCAGTCTATCAATAAACTGGTAGTTTATTTTTTCTATTTCTATTATTTTATTATATTCTATTTCTCTTTTTCTTTCTATTATGAGGCAAATGTAATACTTACATAGCTAAGCATGATAGTGATGCGGCCAGACAGTAAATTTAGGATAAATAACCACCAGTAAGCCCTTTGCTGGGAATACCTGGGTACTGCAAACAATGAAGCTCAGCTGCAAACCAAAAGGTTGGAAGTTCAAGTCCATCCAGAGGTAAGACAGGGCTAGAGCCACAGAGCCATTTTTCTTAGCCTCAAGATAGCCCCTCATCCAGCCCATTTCCTAGAGTTCTTTCTTTCCCTCCTCAGAACCTCTTTAAAGAGAAACAGTCACTGGCTAGCCAGAATCCGCTGAAACAGGTCCTGCCCTCCATCCTGCCATTCCAGATGACCTTTAGCTCATTAATTATTTCATGCATGGTAAATTCTCCGCCTCTGGGTGGGGAGCTGACACGCTAATGAATAAAAATGACTAAGTTCCTCCTGCGTGGGGGTAATCCAACCAGGGTCTTAGAAAATGCTTACTCATTCTAAAACACTCCACGCCTGCACGTGTGCCACTTTGTAGTCTGAAACTGATCCTGCCTATATAAATCAGCCTCAACAAGCTGCAGTCTTGGATGGCAGGAAGCCCCCCATCTCCTTGCCTGGCCAACCAATAAAGTTGCCTTCCGTTCTCCCCAACTTGGTCTTTGTCTTTTTGGCCCTGATGGAGTTGCACCAGCAGAACTCGGAGCTCCCAGCAACAGAGGCACCTTGGAAGAAAAACCCGACGATCTATTTCTAAAAAATCAGCCACTGAAAACCCTAAAGAATACAGTTCTACTCGAACACACATAGCGAATCAACTCAATGGCGACTGGTTGATTTGGTTAAGTCCTTTGCTTTAACCATGAAGGGCAGCAACATCTTTAGTTCTGAGTGTCATCAGTGAGCTTAAACAGTGCTTATAGCTGCCTTAAGTCTGAGAGAAAGGCTCACAGAAAGAAGGAAGGAAAAAAATGATAGTAGGAAGAGAAATAATTTAGGGTGAAAAGTGGTACCTAAAATGTGAAATGGTAGAATTCAACTAATAGTTGCTTAAATTATACTAAGTTATGCTTCCTAATATGTAAATAATTAAATAAGAATGAAATTTAAGGGAGGTGTTATAGGAATAAGGCTGGATACAAAGAAAATAGAATTGATGTCTGAATCCTTAACAAATCAAGGAATTACGATAATAAGAATAATCTCAGTAAACAATACCTTTTCTTTTAATTTTGCTCGTCTTCTTTGTTTTTCTGCCTTTTCATCTTCCTTTGCCTGTCTGTCTAAAATTTTCAGTTCAAGTTTATGTAAATCCTAAAAAACAAAACATCAAAAAAAAAGAAATTAAGTAAAATTAACTAGAAATTAATTCAAGGTTTAGTTGTTTTACAAGTAAAATTAAGTTACCTTAAACATTAATACTGCCTCAATATTAACCTTTTCTAATGAAGGCTAAGAGGTTTATTTTTTCTGAATATAAATGTAACATGCATATCCTTTCTGAATCACTTTACAATCATAAAGTAATCCCTTGTCTTACTTTATTGTCCAATCTAAAACTCCTTTTCTTTCAATAGGTGAATTAAGCCCATTTTCACTTTTCAATATAGGTATCTCTGGTCTTAGTTCTCATTTTATATTAATATTTTCTGTTTTATAAGTTTTCTTTTTTTTGTACGGGATCTTTTGTGACGTAGGAAGATTTTTATGTACGGACTAAAAGAAACAAATGAAAATTTTTCTCTATTAGTGTGCTTTTGCCTATTATTTTTCTTTGTACCTCCCTTATTTTCTGTGTTATGGATGTTGCTACTATGTATTTTGATGCACAGATATTTATAACAGTTAAATCTCATTGCACCCTTTTTCATTTTAAAGTGCCTTTCCTTGTTTTGTTTAATACTTATTGGACTGAATTTCACCTTATCTGATGAAGATTACAACTCCTTTCTGGTATATATTTGTTTAAAATCACATATAATCCCACCCTCAGCAATAACCTTGATTGACTTAAGCACACATCAAGTACCTATAATGCACCAGACCCTGGGGAACAGGGATGAATAAAAAGGGCAAAAACTCTGCTTTCGTGGAGCTTACATTATGACAGGGAGATGGACAATGAGCATATAAAAAAAATCACCTTGGGGGTAAAGCCAGCCCCCTGCACAGGGAAGATAAGGCATTCATGGTCTGGCCTGTGGCTACCTTTCCAGCCTCTTCTGCTGGTTCCCACATCCTATTTGATGCCCTAAGAATACTGAAGTGTTTAGAGTTTCCCCCACAAACCATGCTGTTACATTCCTCTAAGCTGCTACTCATGCTGTTGCCTCTGTTAGGGAGGATTTCTTCTCTCTCTTTCCCTTTTTTTTCTCTTCAAGACTCAACTTAAGTATCACCTTCTCTCTGATACCCATAGCTGTGGGAAGCTTCCCTCTCTGTACATCCACCTCCTAAAGTACTCTGTCTACCCCTCAACCACCGAATGATTCACCACATTTTACTGAAGTCTCCTGCTTACACATCTATCTTTCCCACTAGACTATAAGCTACTAGAAATTAGAAGCACTGGGAAACTAATACTGTGTACAGGCCCAATATGTAAGAAGCACTCCATAAATTTTTGCTGAGTAGAACCTGGAAGTAATACTCCATGTGTGGCATTTAAAAATTATTTAGGAAACATATTTACTCACTCTTTCTTGAAACCTGGAGATTTCATCAGCAGCAGTTTTCCTTTTTTCTGCTTTTTCTGCCTTTTCTCTTATCTCCTTTTCAAGCCTCAAAAATTCTTCCTGTTCTTTCTTCTGCTGGGTATAGTTTTCTAGTAGTAACTTTAGTTTAAACTGGCATTGACGCTCTCTCTGCTGTTTTTTTCCTCTCTCTTCCTCATCTTTTAATTGAGAAGCATTTTTCATAGACATTTCTATGCTTTTCTGTTTTTTCCAAGCTTCAATTGCCAATTTCTGTTTTTTTCTTTCTTCCTCTTTTTGCTTTTGATTATCTTGTTTATTATGATGAAACATAGGTATATCCTCTGCCTTTTCCTTTAACTTGAAAATTTCCTTCTTTTTTTGCTGCTTTTTAGTTTTCCAATTTTGAATAGACTAAATGATAATAAAAAGACAGCAAGAAAAAATATTTCTAGGTAACCAAAAATACTTTAAAATACAACCTCAAATCCATCTTTCTAGAAAGAATATTGACTGTAGGATGCTGGTTGCTTAGATCTTAAAGAGGGTTTTTTTTTTTTTTTAACACAAATGCAATTTTTTTTCTACTTCGCGTTTTGAGAAAAAAATTAACGTATCTTTTAAAATACTGACTAATGTTTGTTTTCATTCTTTTCACCGTCCTCTTCTCTAAATCTCCAGGCTCACAAGGACTGCATCTCATGTAGTATTCTCCTTCCCTTCTCCCACCTCTTTTGCTTTCATGGGTAACATACTTTTCCTCTAATTATCTTACTTCTGCTTCCAAATCCTGTTTCTAGGCTTAGAAAACCTTCTGAGTACATAACGTTCCTCTGGTCAAGTCAGAAGAGGAATCAAAAGCAGGGTGGTTAAGAGCATAGGCTCTGAAGCCAGACTCTTGGGGACCAAACTCTGACTTTGCCATTTACTAGGTATGATCTTAAATGAGTCACTAAACTTCTCTGTGCTCATTTTGCTCATCTCAAAAGTAGTAAGTAGTACCTCAATCACGGATAGGTTTGTGGTGAAGAACTAGTGCCTGGCGCATAGTACTTCATATAAGTATAAAAAAAAAAAAGTAAAATAGCTCAATGTTGTTATTAGCTGCTATCAAGTCAACTCCGACTCATGGTAACCTTATGTAGAACAGAATAAAACGTTGCCCAGTCCTGCATCATTCTTACAACTGCCAGCATGTTCGAGTCCATTGTGGTTAGTGTGCCAATCTATCTCATAGACGGCCTTCCATACCCTCGTTAGCCCTCTACTTCACCAAACACGATGTATTCCTCTAGCAATTGATCCTGCCTAATGATGTGTCCAAAGCAAGTGAGTTGGACAATGTTCTGTTGTGATCCATAAGGTTTTCATTGGCTAATTCATGGAAGGTAGATCACCAGGCCTTTCTTCCTAGTCTATCTTAGTCTGGAAATTCTGCTGAAACCTGTCCACCATTGGTGACCCTACTGGTATTTGAAATACTTGTAGCATAGCTTCCAGTATCACAGCAACATACAAGCCACCACAATACAACAAACTGACAGATGGGTGGTAGAAAATAGCTTAGTAGGATTATGTAAAGATTTTTTTTTAAATTCCAACTGCCTTCTCTATCTCTTAAAGGACACATCCACTGCATTACTTTCCACCAAGTCAGGAACACAGTTTTCCTGATCTTTACTCATGGTGCAACATTCATCCATTCATTCATTCATTAAAGAAATCCTTATGGCATGTGCACTCTACATAAGGCAATGTGATAGGAACCAACAATGTGATAAGATGTTTAAACAATACCAAATGCCATCTAGTACCAAAACCAAACCAAACCCACTGCCGTCAAGTTGATTCTGACTCATAGCAACCCTGTAGGACAGAGTAGAACTGCCCCATAGGGTTTCCAAGGCTGTAAATCTTTACAGAAGCAGACTGCCATATCTTTCTCCTGCGGAGTGGCTGGTGGCTTCGAACCGCTAACCTTTCGGACAGCTGCCGAGCGCTTTAACCACTGCGCCACCAGGGCTCCTCCCATCTAGTACAGTGCTACTCAAAGTGCCCGTCTATAACAATATAAGGAACTCACGCCAGAATATAGATCTTCATTCAGAAAGTTTTCTACAAAAAAAATGTCAACTGAACTAAACAGTGTGCTTACTGCATAGTTGATTTTGATGCAATCATCTTACATCGTTATGTACTGGTAACAGTTTGCCAACCAATATCTGGTCCATGGACCACACTTTGAGTAGCAGTGCTCCAGGTGAGATAAGACATACGCATAAATAATAGAATATAGAATGTGTCATGGCATATCCTAAAAGAGGTATAAACAAAGTGTTAGTGAAGTTCTGAGGGGGAGGAAGGAGACCACTCACTTATGGTTAGGTGAGCAGAAGGGGGTAGCATTTGATCTGGGCAGATGTGATAGGCTCAGAGTAAGGGGGAAAGAAAGGTGGTTCTAGAAAATGGGAACAAAATAAACAAGAGTACTTACGCTATAATGTACAGGGCATGTCTGAAAATGTTATGTATCTTTGTTTAGACAAGGAAGCAGGAGACAAAAATGATAAATTTCCTATTCAACATCTCAAACTCCGTAGATTTAAAACTGAATTCCTGACACTTTCCCCTAAACCTTCTTCTTGTCCTCCAACGTGTCCTACTTCAGTAAATGTTATCTCCACTGTCATACCTGTTTCTATCTCACCCCTACATCCTAACAATCACCAACTATCATCATGAAACATCATGGTTGAGTATAAGAAGAGTAAGCTAAAATCAGGGGTAATTTACCTTTATTACAAAAAGCATTATGTCTGTTCCTTTTCTCTAGAGAAATGGTTCTCAAACTTCAGCTTGGAACAATAACCTGGAGGACCTGTTCACACAGATTGCTGGACCCTATCCCCGATGGTCCCTGGGTGGCATGGTTTGCACTTAACTATTAACCTAAAGGTTGGCAGTTTGAACCTGCCCAGCAGAGCTGCAGAAGAAAGGCCTGGTGATCTGCTTCCATAAAGATTACAGTCAAGAAAACCAAATGGAGAAGTTCTACTCTGTAATACATAGGGTTGCCATAAGTTGGAACTGACTTGAAGGCAAAGGGTTGGTGTGGGGTTGGGGCCTGATATTTTCTAACAAATTCCCATGTAATGCTTATTTCCTGGTCTAGGGACCACTTTGAGAACCCCATATTTTCAGTATCCTGGAGAAAGGCCAAATAATTCTTAGTAGCTTGTTATTTGGATCTTTAAAAATGACTTTACTTTAAAAAATTTTTCTTGAAGTCCCAAAAGTCAGTCTTCTTACATTCAACTTATTTCAGAAAACCACAACACAACAAAATAAAAAACCCCTGCTACTTCTGCTAAAACTTTAGACTAAATACAGAATCAATATTTCTCTATTACTCCTTAGGTATGAATTCTACATAAAAATGATTGACTTGGGCTATCTAAACTTTTAGTTCTCAACTGGGGGTGATTTTGCCCTTCAGAGGACATTTGCCAGTGTCTAGAGTCATTTTTAACAATCACAGCTAAGGGCTATTACTGGCATACAGTGGAAGATTACAGGAATGCTGTTAAACATTCTACAATGCACAGGACAGCCCCTACAACAAAGAATTACGTACACCAAAATGTCAATAAGTGCCAAGGTTGAGAAACCCTGGCCTAAACAAAAGCCAAAATAATATTTTTATGAAAACAGAACTTTAGATTCAAATTTGTTTTTCTAGAATTCTCCTGTTTGGATATGATGAACATCTCAAAATCACTGTATGAAGAAATCAACTTTGCTTTTAGTAGCATTTATCATTATTCTTGATTTATACTAGACTTACAAAAGATTAATATTTTATTTACTGTTAATGATAAAAAACATGTTTTAGGGATTTTCTACAATCAAGGGTGACCTTTTTCTTTAGAGTAGCCAAAATTTTCAGTTTTTAAAATAAGCAATGAAGTGAAAGTTGGAAAACTCAAAGAAGTTTATAATAGTCAGAGGGTTTTTTCCTACTGCCCCTTTATTTTCTGTTCAAAACAATGTGGCCTCTGCTGGTAAAATGATTTTTTTCAGAAGTCTAAGTAGATCTGGACTACCCACATTTTGGGGAAGTGAACACAGAGGGTTTTGCCCACAAATTAAAATTTTTCTGGTCCATTGTATTATTTCTTGGGGTAAAAATGTTTAGCCTTAAGGAGTCCAGATATAGTTCCATTACTTGGGTAAATTACTTAACTTGCTTATAAAGGCTGTTTCATCTTCTATAAAATGGTGAGGGAATGGGTTGTGTAAAAATATATCTCATGGGACTGTTTAAAGTTAATGATATGTGAGTTTAGCACAGTGCCCAGACATAGGAACATATAACAAATAATAGCCATTATAATTATTATTACCTCTTTTTTTCTTTCTTCTAGAGCCAGAAATTTTTGATACCATTTCTCATGCTGTTGAACTTCATGCTGTGTTCTTCCAGGAAGGTGTTCTAGAACTTCTCCCATAAATACTGGCTTCCCTTTATACTTGTTTCTCACTTTTACAAAATTCTGATGATCATAATCATCCCAGCCTCCTTGTCGCCCTCCCGTTTGCTGAAGGAATTTTTCAAAATCTACCACTTCCTCTGGGAGAGTACTTGGCGTTACTTTGTCTACAGGAACTTTGCTTGCCATTACTCTGAAAGCTTGCTGTGTTTCTGAATTACCTAAAGCCCATATGTCAATTTTTCTTGATATGGCACTCAATTCATTATTAGTTGTTTTCTCTTCTTTAATAAGCTCTTCATACCTAAAATTAAAAAAATAAACTTTGAATTTTATTAACCCTTCATTTTTTTCCTTAAGTTTAATTATTCCTGACTTTTTTCACATCATCTTCTCCATTATATCCCTTCTTTCCTATGCTCTCTCCTGCCAAGTTCCTCAGCCTTCTTGCCTTAATTGCTTAACTGTCTTAACCTAATTTTTATGCTTATCTACCTGCTTTCTTCCTTCAATCTTATTTTTATTAGTTTTTAGGATGTGGACAGACCAAATCTTACACTGTACTTTATTATTAACTAACATTTATAAATCTAAGCCTTAAAAGAGTTTCCTCAAAGGGAAAAAAAACCCAATCTATCAAATTTTCACTTGGAATTTTATAGTGCCCAATATAAATAAAAATTCACTTTAAACATAAAAAGCAGTTTAACACCTGAAACAAAAGAAAGTGTTATATTGCTTTTGTGTAGATTCATATTAAATAAATAACAATCAAATGGTTTGTATACACAACCTCGTGGAAAATTATTAAAAAATAAAGGTGAATAATTCTGTAATAAAATGACTTTAAAACATACATCAACCTCTGCTCTTCTTTAAAAGTGTTAATCGCATTTTCAATTTCTTCCATCATTTCTCTGAGCTTCTCAACAACTGTAAAAAAATTAAATGCAAAAGATATTTTATATCATATTTCAGTAAGGCTAAGAATCAAATCTCAAGAAAAATTGGAATGCTCCCTTAATTTAAAAACATTTTTTAGCCTAAAGGATAGGAAAATTGTGCTCAAAAACTGATTTTTATGACTATATATTTTTTCTATGCACACATATTATTATCATTAATACTATATTTTACAAAAATTATTTCACACTATACATATTGGTTTATAATCTGTAGTTTTACTCAACAAAATGTGTGGTTTATTTTCCATCTCAATATACATACAGTGCTACTTCATTCTTTTTATAGTTGCATAGAATTTCATTGCCTAAATCTACCCTAATTTGTTTAATCAATTCTGATGATCCTTTAAATACACACGATTCTGCAGTGAACATACTGCATATGTACTTTTGCAAGCTCATATTAGTATTTTTGGAGGATTAATAAAACTTGAAAGGCTAAATCAAAAAGTATGCACACGTTATAGTACTAAATACTGTTAAACTGTCCCTCAGAGAGGCTCATCCAAATAACACCTGAGAGTGCTCCCTTTCCATACACCTTTAAACCATTACTAAAATGAGGCAAAAATTTATTATCATTGATCTAGTTGACATTTTTGTGATCGTTAATAAGCCTAAGCATTTTTTTCATGTGTACTCTATTTCTTCTATGAACTGTACTTTATAACCTTTGCCCATTTTTCTATTAGGTATGTCACATTTGTCTAACATGTAGGGATTCTTTATACAGTATAGAGATTAACCCTCTAAATGACACATATATTGCTAATATTTTCCCTACTTTGTTTCTCAGCTTTGCTTATAATGTTTAAGGTTTTTTTTTTTAATGCCAAATATGTCCACTTCTTTCTTTAGTTTCTGATCTTTTTCATTCTTATAAAATATAATAAGAGATATAAAAAAATATTAATCCATGTTCTCTTCTAATATTTAATGGTTTCATTTATTAATTTAACAAGTTATAATTATAATATTAATAATCACCATTTTTTAGTGCTTATAACCACTGTATCAGTTACAGACAATATACTATCTTAATATACATTATTTTATGTCATCTCCCCATCATCCCTGACAGACAGTCCCATGATTACCTCCATTTTGCATAAACCCCAGGTATTACAGTTCTCCAATGTATCCTTAAGAATCCCTAAATGATAAGGTAGGGTTTAGCTACATTAATATCAAACAGAAAAACAGACATATTGCATATTATAAAGTACGTTTCCAAATAACAACAGAAAACATTAATACATAGAAAATAATATAAAATTTAAATTGACTTACAATCAGGTGTAGGCTTCACATCTTTTAATTGATGCTGAAGTCTCTTTACATTGTTATGTATTTTGGCCAATTGTTGCTGTATTTTTGCTCCTATAAGGAAGAAGCAGGTACCTTAAAATAATTCTATGACAAACATTGTTATAATTCAGGATTCTACACATAACACTGATCAGAATCACTTAGAAAAAAGATAGTCAAGAGCAATTAAATAAAGACCAAAAGATGGTTATTCAAAATTAACTTTCAAACAATCTGACCACTTTAAATACCCCTGGCTCTAAATAAAGCAGCTCTCAATCATCTTTTGTTCTTTAGCAGTTTTTTCTTTTCTTTTTAATTTGCTTTTGTTTGTTTATTAATATAATTTATGGAAATAGAATTTGATCTGCAACTCTCCTGTAGGAATATTTAAACTATCTACCCAATATTAATTCTATGCATACTGACAAACTTCGAGCTGAGAATTAATTTAGTCTAACCACATCCTCTAAGATGGGCTGGTGATCCTCCCCGGTGTCACTGTCATGACCTTAAGGAGCTGCTCAGGTGCCATTCAGTAGTCTCTATGCCCAGGTTGCTGAGCTCAACCAAAGGACCAGACTGAAGTAAGATGTTAAGCCACAAAAAAAGCCTAAAAAATCAATTAGGGTCTCAAAGATATTTTCAGATGTTATCAGCGGCAGAAAGACTGGATTCTTCTTTAATATTTTTTTCTGAAGTAATAATTTTATTTTAACATTTATTAAATTATTAGGCTAACACCATATAAATTCACATTCACACAAATATATATTCATATAGTAAAACCCATTGTTGTCTAGTTGATTCTGACTCATATTATTTTCTCATTTTTGGTTTCTTAATTCAAGCACACCTTTTTTGATTTTGCAACTTTTTCACAAATGAGCACAGAGAACAAAATTGCTCTGTCCAAAAGTCCCTAAAAACTTTTTTTTTTCTTTTAAGTTTACCTATAGGCCTGGACTGAGTGCTAATATTCAAAACAAACCTTTGAACTTCAGCTTGTTCTATTTGTTATTAAAATTCAAGAGTGCCATGAAAGCAGAAACTTTATCTCCGATGTATTTTTATAGCCTCAATTCACTGTCGGAACTTTAGGTCAGGATATTTCTCTAGTGAAGTTAACTAATTAGAAAAGTGTTTTTGTTGTTTCGTTTTTGGCATAGTTTGATGAGCTACAGTGATACAACTATAGGGCAAATAATCTTTTTATTTTAGTTATACATTTGGAACTGACACTCTGTATAGGCAAATAATGTACATACAATATTACATAAATGCAGGCTAAAACTGTGGCATGATTTATTTGAGGTAAGGGATAGGTATTTACTACTTGTGAGCTGTAACACGTGAAGGGGAAACTTCTATATCCTTATACTAAAGACAACGGATTCCTTCATCTCCTAGATACAACAAATACTGAGTGTTAATAGAGGCTAAGCTGTAGAACACAGGGAAATCAAAGGGTAAAAATAAAGTTGCCTAAAAATGGGAAAATCAAGTAACCTAAAACTGCTAAATGTAAACACACTACTTAATGGCATGACTGAGAGAAAGGTCAGCCTTTGTCAGCTATCTACAAAAGAACTGAGGGGAATTAAGAAATATTAAATTAGGGATATCTAAAGTTCTCCATGAGTCCGAGTAGAGGACTAGAAATTCTGAATTCATATTAGGTTCTACTGTCACTATGACAGAAGAGAGAATTACTCTATCTGACAATTAAAAGATGACTTTTTAAAGTAATGCAATCTTACATTCTGAAAGAAAAAAATACGTAAGGAAACTTCTTTTAATTGGTTATAAAGGAGTACTCTAAACAATATAATCTCTACATAGTAAGTCTTAAAAAGCTTATTTAGCTGATAACCATCATTTCTTTTTTAAGCATTGTTAAGCAGTTTTTTACTGTAATGTAAGGATTTTGTAACTGTTATCATCTAATTCTACAATGAAACAAAGTATTCTCATAGAATTCTTAAGACCCACATTTAGTACTGTCGACAATGGTTAATATTCATAACAATAAACAATGGAACACATTAGCTATACAATCTGCAAGGCATTTTCTCATGTATTATCTCATTGGATGTACAGAACAGCTCTCCTGAGATAAAAATGGTAGATTTTATATCATGAACAAGAAAACTCAGATTTAAGCAATTATATGACTTGATCACTTCATACCACTACTAAGTATAGATTTTGGACCCATTGATGTTTACTTAGTCCAGGGTTCAGTCAACAGTGCCAGGTGGAGGAGCTCAGATCAATCAATTTTTCTTTAAGAAATTCTAATACCATTAACTGGTTTGCCAACCAAAACACAAAATCCTCTCTTTGCTATTAAATTGGAAAGAAATATACATAGAAAATAACCCAGTAGAATAACCAAAATGTGACCTGAAAGGCTAAAAAAAAACAACACAGTTGCCATAGAGCCGATTCTGACTCATGGTGACCCCACGTGTGTCAGAGTAGAACTGTGCTCCCTAGGGTTTTCAATGGCCAATTTTTTCAAAAGTAGATCACCAGGCCTTTCTTCTGAGGTACCTTCAGGTGCATCTAACTGCCAACCTTTTGGTTAGCAGCCGAAAGCAGTTAATATTTTGCACCATCCAGGGATTCCAAAAGACACATACTCCTAAAAGACAAACTTATTACCACCACCTAGACAATATCTTGGTAGAGACTATAACACAGTCAATACACAAAGACGAAGCACAAAGGCAAGACTACAACTTTATATTAACAGATTTTAGTTCATCATGAACTCAACTTACTTTCTGTTTTCCTGCTGATAATCAATTTATTTTCCAATTCTTCCAGCATACTATGCTCAGTTCTGAAGTCATTTTTTTGGTTGTAGAAATGACTGTGTTTATCTTTTTCTAAGTTAATAATTCTTTAGGAAAAGAAACACATGGTATAAGTATGATTTAAATATATTTTTAATTATTTAAAATATGAAGACAATCATAATAATTTTATTTTATACTTGGATCAATTCATCTAAGAAGTCAAAATATAATTACTTGGATTAATAAGGCTAAGGAGTCAAAATATTAGTTAGAAAAGAGTTAAGTTCAACTAAAATCACAAGTAATTTGAATTGTTATTTAAATTATAAACTGTTAATTTAAGCAAACATAATCATATCCTTGCTCTGAAAATACATGAGCTATCGATTCCAACTCAGTCTTACTGGGGCCTGTAAATGGTTGTCACTGCTGATGACTGCTCTCAACAGCAGATATTGTTAACTTGGTAACCTTAGCCAAGATGTTTAACCTCTCCTGGTGTGAACGTCCTCATCACAAAAATGCAAATAATAACAGTTATCTACTACCTAATGGGGCTGTTATTAGTATCAAATGAGATAACTATATGAAAAATCTTTATACAGTAAAAAAAAAAAGTACTACAGAAATGTAAGCTGTTACTATTATTAATTAAACAAAAATCTTGGAGAAGAAAGAATCTACAAAGCCAGGAAATGTAGTATATTTAAGGGATATCTTCTACACTTAATTAAAAGGTTTTTCCATCTCATCTTTGCTCTTTGGATTTATTCAGTCTACTAGTAAGGAATTCTAATTGTTAGTTTGAGCCCTAAGGTAAAACAAAAAAATACTATCAAGGAACTTTTTTGGTTGGGCAAAGAAATTAATTTCCTCAACACTTGTTTTCTTTCTCCCAGAAGATGGAAATTAATATAAATACTCTAATTCTCGACTAATCCTTGATTTACTGAGAAGTGGAATATCTCTGCCCACTGACTTAATTTCACACAACCTGAAGGGCAAGGCAGAGTTTCCCAACCCGTTTCACTTTGTAGCACATATAGAAAAATGGAATATTTAAAAGGCACATTGCGGTAAACAGATGAGACTGCCTCAGGCCCCATCTGGCTGCTGAACGGCTAAAGGAATCATTATCGTAGCACATGTTGTTTAGGAAACTCTTGGTGTTTGTAAGAGGAAGAACAGAGATATCAAATAGGCTTCGGTTCACATGCCAACTCTGATGGATTGAGAGTGACTACTGGAGTCCTGTGTTGCAGACTGAGAATCCCATGTAGGCTCTCGTTGGGGTGGGGAAATGACTGTGACCAACAGTGATGTCTGCCATGGACACAGGATGTGTATGATAGTAAGGAAGTTGTGTGCTGCCATTGCTGGCAGAGTAACAAGCACTGAATTAGAAATATCACTATTGGAGACAAACTGCCAAGCATTTTATGATCAACCCTACTCATAGAAGAAATGCAAAAAAAAAAAATATACCAAGTAACATTCTACACCTATCAGATTGGCAAAGAATCACAAATATGAATAATACACTCTGTTGACAAGACTGGGGTAAACAGGTCCTCTCATACATTGTTGGTAGAACTGTAAATTGCCTGTGGAGGGCAATTTGGCAATATCTGTCAAATTCGAAAAATTCATATACCTGTGACCCAGTATATCTATTTCCTAGGAATTTATCCTGAAGGCATGCTCATACATGTACAAAATAATGTGGATCTGTGCCATCTCTAAATATTTGACTTACATAACAACAGTGTCATTATCATGCCTGATAAAATAATTCCTTGGTATCCAAGATATACTACTAAGTTAAAAAAATAAAAAAGGCAAGTACAGAACAGTGCATACAAAAAGAAAAATCTGAATATGGATTTCTATTTCCTTATAAGTACATAAAATATCTGTGAAAGGTACGTAAGAAACTAAGAACAGTGGTTGTCTGAGAGAAGGGGAACTAGGTGGATGCGGTCAGAGGTGTGACAGAGACCTTCCATTGTGTACCCTTTGATACATTTTTATATCGAAATCATGGGAATATATTACAGATTCTAAAAATACCTGTATTACATATTGTGTTTTTTAATTCTCTGTATTCAATGAGAATTGCTAGAAAGAAACAACACCCTTCCAAGGAGTTTTTCCAGCACTCTTTTCAGTGAATTTTTCCAACACACTGTAACAGATGAAGAAAGCCTAATCAGAACTATAAAACAAACCTACTACTGGGAGACAAAGTGTCTATACTGACATAACCTACTAGTCTGCTGATACCTATGGACATTAACTATTTGGTGGACATTACTCTCCCTAGGGATAAACACAAACCAGGACCCCTAACCTGTGGTTCAACTCTATCTAGGGCAATGAATTTTGGAAGCTGAAAAATAAAACTGTATGTTCGTAAATTCTGAGTATCAGAGATATGAGTCCTATATGAATGCAGTGAGAACACAATCTCCCAAAGCTCCAGTATGGAATAACTTCAAAATTCAAACCAGATGCTTTTTTATTGGTAGAATTTCTAAACAAAGAACTGCCACTAATTTTTATCCAGAGACCATTCCTTACAATAGCCTCCTTTTCTCTTGAGTTCTCTGGAAAGTCAATACTGTATAAATTCAAAGGAGTGTTTTTAAAAAGCTCTCAACTGAAGGGCAGGGTAGGGTGCTCTGAGTTCCAATCTCTTCTGTCATCCCTCATGGCACTGCTGACAAAATTTAGCATTCAATAAATTATTGGTCTTTTAGAGAAAAAAAAAATATGCATTAAAAATTAAAATAAATGGAAACTTCTCAGTTAACCTGGCCGCAATGCGCAAGATGAGTCCAAGTGGGGAAGAGACCGAGGGAAGGACACTAAAAGGCCACTGCAAAAATATAACTCAAGGGTACAGATTTTTCATTAAAACTACCCATTCAAAAACACTTACCAAGTGATTACCTACATTTGAAAAGTAAAAAATGTATTCACTCTGTTATTTAACATATGAGATCTAAAGAAACAGCTGTTTTGTTTCACTTAAAATATACTGATTCGAAATGGTAAAAATAAATAAAGTTGAAATACCTCCCCTTAAAATGAACTTTATATTGTTGTTGTTAATTGCTGTTAAGTCGATTCTGACTCATGGCAACCCCATGTGTGCAGAGTAGAACTGCTCCATAGCATTTTCAAGGTTGTGACCTTTTGGAATCAGATCACCAAGCCTGTCTTCCGAGGTACTTTTGGGTGGGTTCAGAACCACCAACTTTTCAGTCAGTACTCAAGTGCTTAAACATTTGTGCCACCCAGCCAGCCAACTTTATATTAAGCAGCGTATTTGTCCATTTCACTTCCCCCACCTTTCCCTTGTCTTATACAGTAAAACCTGTGAAATCCAGAATCTGTGTAAGGCGAGAATCTGTCAGTGAAGGAAAACTCACTGGATGTTCATGAGGTAGGATTCTTAATAGAGAGCAGTAGAGAAGTGGTCTGCACCCTGTCAAAGGTGGAAAACTTGCAAGACCCGGAAAAACAAGGCAGTCCCATCGAGTTCCGGCTCTCACAGTTTCACTGCATTTGACAACGTAGTGACTAAAATTGTTTAACTTAATGTGGGACTGAGTAGGGTAGAATATAATTAACTTTATATTGTCCATTGTAAAGTGGCTAATTATGTTGTTTAAAGATAATGTTCTTATACTTACTGATTTTTAAATTTTTCAGCTGTGCGTATGAATTCTGCTTTCTTAGTCTGAATAGCTTTCTGCTTCCAATTTTGAAGCTGAAAAGTTCGAATTCCACCTAAAGTACCATCATTCTGCATAAAAACAAAAAGAAAATTATCATCAACAGTAAAAACAGTCATTTCTACACTTAAGGAGCCCTGGAGTCACAGCGGTTAATGAGCTTAGCTGCTAACCGAAAAGTCAGTAGTTCAAATCCACCAGCCACTCAGCAGGAGAAAGATGTGGCAGTCTGCTTCCATTAAATATTTTACACTTATAACATGACATATTTATCTAAAGTAAACTGTCACTTAGACAGTTTAGTAAACTATCACTTAGCAAACTGTCCCATTTCAAAACTTAAAAGCCAAAACTTAGTACAACTTATGTTTTGCTTTATAGTATATAAACTATGAGACTCATTAAGCATTACTATCAAGTTATTTTACTAAACTGTTAACAAAGTGGCTAGTCAAATACAAATTAACAGATTTTGAAGAATAATCAAGAGTACTAACTTTCAATTCTCTATGGAGCAAATCATCTACCAATACTACAAAGAAACTGAAAATTAACAAAGCTGATATATCTATTATATATATCTGATATAGCAGATATATCAAAGCTAATATCTATTATTACTTCCTTGAAATCAAGTCCAGCTTTCATTGACCTTTCTTCTGCATGCTTCTAGTGTGCTTCTCCTAGATTGCAAGTGCTCAGGGAATGCAATCTACTTTTAATAACAGTAGAGCAAATATAATTACCAAGAAAATTTACTGCCCTGGTCCCTAATCATGTAATATATTTTAAAGTTATATTTACAAAATGGAATCCCTATGTGACTGGGTCAACCATTTTGTTAAGGGGAAGAAATAGCTTAGGCAGAGGAAAAAAGGGTAAGAGATAAATGTGGAATTTTTTTCGAGATACAAAATGTCAATAACAGAGTTTCTTGGGGAATAATTTAGGGACTAATCTTAACTTTTAAAAATATACTTTGTGGAAGAGAAATATTTATCTTAAGATGTTAGATTCTTGAGCAGGAAATGTTAAATGTCCAGGGATTGTTTACAAAAAGATCTCATTATTTCCTTCGGTTAGTCATTTAACAAGTATGTATTCAACATTTCCTTTCCAACCTGGTTGCCTTTTTTTTTTTTTTTTTTTTTGCCTAGTTGCCCTGGCTAGAACCTCGAGTGAATAGAAGTGGTAAGAACGGACATTCTTGTTTTGTTCCTGATCTTAGATACAGAACTTCCTATCTTTCATCATTAAGTATGTTAGCAGTAGGCTTTTCATAGAGGCTTTTATCAGGTTGAAGATGATTCCTTCTATTCTGAGTTTATTGAGTATTTTTATCATGAAAGAGTGTTGGCTTTTGTCAGTTGCTTTTTCTGCACCTATTGAGATGACCATGTGGTTTTTTTCCTTTATTCTATTAAGATGGCGTATTTTATTAATTGCTTTTCATATGTTGAACCAGCCCCACATGCCTGGGATAAATCCCAATGAATCATAGTATCTAATTCTTTTTATATTGTCGGATTTGGTTTGCTAGTACTTGTTGAGTTTTTGCATCTGTATTCATAAGGGATATTTGTCTGTAGTTTTCTTTCCTTGTAGTGTCTTTGTCTGGTTTTGGTATCAAGGTAATACTAGTCTCATAGAATGAGTTGAGAAGTATTCCCTATTCCTCTATTTTCTGAAAAAAAGGTTGTTACGAACAAAAAAATTACATTTATACTGACTTTTATATTTACCTATGTATTTATCTTTACCAGTGTTCTTTATTTATGTCATTATTTATGCAGATTCGAGTTACTGTCTGGCATCCTTTTAATTCAGCTTGAAGAAATACGTTTAGTTAATTCTGGTAGGGTAGGTCTGCTAGCAACGAATTTTCTCCATTTCTGTTTATTTGAGAACGTCTTAATTTCTGTTCATTTCTGAAGGACAGTTTTGTTGGGTATAGAATTCTTAGTGGACAGTCTTTCCATACTTTATGTCATCCCACTGCCTTCTGACCTCCATGGTTTCCGATGAGAAATTAGCTGTTAATGTTACTGAGGAGCCCTTTTATGTGATGAGTTGCTTTTCTCTTGGAGCTTTCAACATTTTCTCGTCTTTTGGTGATTTGATTATGATGTGCCTACCTGTGGATTTCTTTGAGTTTATCCTACCTGGAATTCGTTGAACTCCAACAACTGTAGACTAAGTTTTATATTAAACTTGGCAAGTTTTTGGCCATTATTTCTTCAAATACTCTTTTTGGCCCTTTCTCTCTCTCCTCTCCTTTTGAAACTCTCATTATACATATGCTGGTACACTTGAAGAGTTTGTCCAACCCTGAACAGAGACATTGTTCCCTCAGAGGGAGAAGACACGGCCCTATCTTGCTACAAAATCAGTACATACACTAATAGGATGCTGTTAGAGATACTTTTTAAGAAGTTGTAATTAAACAGCTAAAATGATCAGTAGAACAGTAGGCTGGGAACAAGAAGGATATGGCATCTGAGAGCAGAGTAAAGAGATTAGTGGTTGTTATGGACTGAATTGTGTTCCCCAAAAGATATGCTAAAGTCCTAACCCTTGGTACTGGGGAATGCGATCCTGTTTGGAAACAGTCTTTGAAGATGTTATCATGAGACCTACTGAAGTAAGATGGGTCCTAATCCAATATGAGTGGCGTCTTTATAAAAGAGGAGAAGAGGTACAGAGACACAGAGGGAAGAACACTATGTGACAACAGTTAAGTCACAGCTTCAAGTCAAGGAATGTCTGAGGCTATCAGAAGTTGGGAGAGACAAGAAAGACTATTCCTCTAAAATCTTCTGAGACAGAATGGCCCTGCTGACACCATAATTAGGACTTCTAGCCTCCAGAACTCTGGAGACAGTAAATTTCTGTCCTGTCACCTAGTTTGTGGTACTTTGTTATGGCAGCTCTAGAAAACTAATACTGTGGTCTTCTGTCTTGAAAGACAATGACTGAGGGGGGTTATAAACAAATAATATACAAACATTAAAAAGCATAGATAGGATACAGTATTAGAATTGGTGGGAAATTTATGTAATTCCATACCCCCAGGATGTTGTAGAGACTAACAATATAAAATAGTTCTAAAAATTCAGAGATAATTACTCCAAAATAACTTAAGGGAAACTTAGATATCGTGGTGGTCACTTCTAACGTCATGAGATTGTCATCAGGGAATTTTCTTCTTCTCAAAAGACCATTCTTTCACTGTCAGAGCCAGTAAGAATATTAGTTTATTTAATATGACAAATAGCTAACCTCAGTATTAGGCTGTAAGAATTTGTGTTTGTGTGTATGTGTGCGTGGTGTTGGAGTCTGCAGATAACACACACTTGAACCCTCAAGAATCTCAGAAGTATGGTATGGCTGTGATTCTAATTCTTCTTTTAAAGCCCAAACACACTGAGGAATTCCATCCCATTACTGCTGTGATTCTCAACTGTAAGGTATGTCTTTCCTAAAAGGGTGAGATGGTATAAAGCAGGGTTTCTCAACTTCAGCACTATTAACATCTTGAGCCAGATAATTCTTTGTTTTGGGGGCTATCCTGTGCATTGTAGGATACTTGGCAGCCATGTCTGGCCTCTACCCACTAGATGCCAGTAGCATTACCGCTACCAACCCCAAGTTGTGATAATCAAAATGTCTCCAAATGTTGCTAAATGTCCCCTGGAGGCCAAAATCACTCCTGGTTGCAAACCACTGGTATGACATTTGAAAAAGCTCCACAGTGATCCTGATGCAACCCTTAGGAAGGCAAGCATCATCTCTGAGAATCACTGTAATGGAGTGATAAATACGTGCACCAATAACCATATTAGGCAACTTGTAAGAAATTCAAACCAGGAGGCAAATAATATCTACATGAATTTAGAGAACAAATCACTTTTAACCTATTGAAAGCTGGAAAGGCTTCATGGAGAAAGCCAGCAAGATAGCTAAACCACTGAGGTCATAAATTAAAACTCTTTTTTATCTTTTAAAGATACATTATATATTTAACTTTTTTTTTTTCTGACCCACTCGGCCCAGAGTTAGAATAACAAAGGGAATTAAAGAGGATACATGAGAAAATTTGCCTTAGGTGGAATTTCTTGAACTATATACAAGTAAAGGCACTGTACTCCCTTGGAGGAGAAAAAAAGATGGAATTCGTCCTCAGCTCACGACAGGCTTCGTTCAGGATTGGACAGATGCACAAATATTTAGTGAGTGCCTACTGTGACCCAGGCACTAACCAGACACATTTCTTGGTGCTAGGAATACAACAGTGAATAAAACTTCCAAACATTGCTGCCCCTATGGACCTTGCATTTTTATGGAGGGAGAAAGATATGAGCAAAATATATAACATAGCATATGGTTTATTATCATCCTGTCTCTCCCCCCTCCCCAATAAAAATGTAAGCTCCATGAGGGCAGAAATTTTTGGAAGTTTTATTCAGTACTGTGTTTCCAGCACTAAGAAGTGTACCTGGTTAGTTCCTGGAACATAGTAGTTATAAGGTCCCAAGGTGGCATAAACTGTGCTCATGAGGAACATATACATGGATCCAGAGGCAGTCATTCGAACAGAACAAAGCAGGGATACTGTGTGGTTTAAAGTCGGGAAAGGTGTGCGTCAGGGTTGTATCCTTTCACCATACTTATTCAATCTGTATGCTGAGCAAATAATCCGAGAAGCTGGATTATATGAAGAAGAATGGGGCATCAGGATTGGTGGAAGACTCATTGACAAACTGTGTTATGCAGATGATACAACCTTGCTTGCTGAAAGTGAAGACCACTTGAAGTACTTACTTATGAAGATCAAGGACTATACTCCTTCAGTATGGATTACACCTCAACAAAAAGAAAGCAAAAATCCTCACAACTAGACCAATAAGCAACATCATGATAAATGGAGAAAAGACTGAAGTTGTCAAGGATTTCATTTGGCTTGGATCTACAATCAATGCCCATGGAAGCAGCGGTCAAGAAATCAAGCAACCCATTGGATTGGGCAAGTCTGCTGTAAAAGACCTCTTTAAAGTGTTAAAAAGCAAAGATGTCACTTTAAAGACTAAGGTCCGCCTGACCCAAGCCATGGTGTTTTCAATCACCTCATATGCTTGTGAAAGCTGGACAATGAATAAGGAAGACAGAAGAATTGATGCCTTTGAGTTACGGTGTTGGCGAAGAATATTGAATATACCATGGACTGCCAAAAGAACAAACAAGTCTGTCTTGGAAGTAGTACAGCCAGAGTGCTCCTTAGAAGCGAGGATAGTGAGACTTTGTCTCGCATACTTTGGACGTGTTATCGGGGGACCAGTCTCTGGAGAAGGACATCATGCTTTGGTAGAGTGGAGGTCCGCAAAAAAGAGGAAGACCCTCATAGAGACAGACTGACACAGTGGTTGCAACGACGGACTTAAATATAGCAACGATCACGAGGATGCTGCAGGACTGAGCAGTGCTTTAGTTCTGTTGTATAGGGTCGCTGAGTCGGAACCGACTCGACAGCACCTGACAAAAACAACAAAGGTGGCACAAACAGTTTGCACTCAACTGCTAACCAAAAGGTTGGCAGTTCAAACCTATCTAGTGGTACCATGGAAAAAAAGCCTGGTGATCTGCTTTTGTTACGATTACTCCCAAGAAAATCTATGGAGCAGTTCTAGTCTGTAACATATGGGGTTGCCATGAGTTGGAATTGACTCAAGAGCAATGCTTTTTTTTTTTTTTAATAAGTACTATGTAAAAAAAATAAAACCAGAAGAGGGGACAGGATCTGCTGGATAGAGATTTAGTTTAGCGAGGTCATGGGAAGTCTCACTGAGCTGATGGTATTTGAACAAACAGATCTAAAGGTGGTGATAGAGCAAGCCAGGGGATCATGGGAGAAGAGCATTCCAAGCAGAAAACCACTGCCATGGAGTTAATTCTGACTCATAATCACCCTGTAGGACAGAGTAGAACTGACCCATAGGGTTTCCAAGGCTGTAATCTTTATGGAAGTAGACTGTCACATCTTCCTCGGACTGGCTGGTGGGTTTGAACCACTGACCTTTTGGTTAGCAGCCAAGTGCTTTAACCACTGTGCCACCAGGGCTATTCTAAGCAGAGCTGAGTAACAACTGCAAAGCTCCTAAGGTAAAAGAGTGCCTGGTTATGTCTGGAGGACCACAAGGAGGCCAGTATGGCTGCTGCAGAATCAGGGCAAGGGACTGGAGATGAAGTGTCAGGGAGGCAGGGAGGCAGCTCATTGGCCCTTTAGGCCATGGTAAGGACTCTGGCTTACATTCTGAGTGAGGTAAGAACCCCTCAGGGGGTTCTGAGCAGAATAGTGTCATTACTGAACAGAATCGCCCTACCTGTTGAGAATAGACTTTAGGGAGGCAAGAGTGGAAAAGAGAAATCAATTAGGAAACTATTTCAGCCAGGGGAGAAATGATGGTTTACGTAAGGGTAGTATTAGTGGAGGTGGTGAGAAGAGTAGGATTCTGAATTTAGTCTGAAGACAGAACAGCCAGGAACTGCCCATGCTCTGGGTGTGGCCTGTGAAACAATGAGATGAACCAAGGTCTTTGGCTTGAGCAACTGGATTCAACAGTTCTTACAAAGAGACCCTCACTGTGGAGAAAGGGGTCCTAAGCTGATCTTTGGAAACACATCTGCCTCAGACCATCTCATATTTTATTCTTCCTTGTCTTCCCAGCACCTGGTACAATAACAGAGCAACCACCATTTACTGATCCCTGAGTCTCTCTTCAACCAACCACTGCGAGAGGCTTTCCAGACATCTCTAATTTCCACAACTAAGGAAAATGCATACGATTAGCTCCAATTTTTAGAGAAAAAGCTGAGTCCCCAAGATGATAAACTATTTTACCCAGATCACAAGGCTGGTAAGTGGCAGAGCCAGGGTTTCCACTCAGGTATTCCTCGACTCCAAAACCTCTTTCCACCACATGGAGGTGCCCCATTAAAAGCTGTTAAATGCACACCCCAACGAAGAGCAATGCCCGTGTGTGAAAGGCCCCAAGCAAAGGGAGGCTCCCGCTTCCCCGGCCGCACAGAAGCGAGCTAGGGCGTGGGGGTGGTGGTGGTGAGGGGGAGATAGCTGTTCAGGGAGGGGTGGGGCCCCCGCCCCGCCTCCAGAGCCTGCACTGCAGCCCACTGGGGCCCACGCCCGCCACCACAGCGGCTCCCGGCCCTCCTCGGTTTACCTGTTGCGGCGTCGACGCAGCTCCCACGCCTGTGCCCGGGGCCGCGCCCGCCCCCGCCACAGCCCCAGCTACTGCGGTGGCCGCCGCCGCCACCACGACCGTCGTCAGGGCAGCCATCTTTCCTCGTCGATTCGCTTGGGCCGCTTCGGCCACCAGGGCCTGGGAGTTCGCGGCGCCGGCACTGCCCACCGTGCGGAAGAGTTCCTGCGCGTTGGGGCTCCCCCGAGAAGCGCACGGCGAGGACCAGCAGGGCCGAGATGCGGAGCGGGATGCAGTGGGGCGGGGCGGGGCGGAGACAAGGGGCGGGGCTAGGATGCGGGGTCGAGTGCGGTAATGCGGCGCGGGCCGAGGTGCGGGCAGGGTGTGGCGGGGCAGGGCCGAGATGTTGAGGGGAGTCGGGATGCGGGGTGGTGTGCGGTGAGGCGGGGCGGGACAGAGATGCGGAGCAGGGCTGGGATGCGGGGCCTGGGGCGCAGCGAGACTGGGAAGGGGTGGCGTGGATGAGGGTGTCGTGTGCACTGTTGCCTGTTGGTCTAAGCTTTTACTGTGCACATTTCTACTGTCATTATTTGGCAAAATCCGACCACCTCATTCCACCTGCTTCCTGCCCGCTAAGAAAATTCACTATCTTGCGATATCTTTCTTAAATTTTATTCGAATCATACCCATTTTTTTTTTTTTTTTAAACGTGCTAGGTTCCTACTAAGGGCTGGTGAAACTTCAGTCCAAATAAAAAAAAACATTATTGATGGGCGTGAACGGTAACCTATATTGCACATTTTCAAAGAAAAGGAAAAAAAAAAAAAGCATGCTCTGTACTACCAGATAACAGATGCAAAAATGCTATGGTTGCTAATCCTAGGACTTCGTTAATAGTTAATAACCTCCCAAGAAACTGTGTTGGGAGGTTGGTGAAAAGGCTCGGATGCCTCCTACAGTTAAGGCATGGGCAACCTGTGGCAACTGAGCTCGTTTCTGGATGCATCCCTTTTCCTTCTTTGAAAGAATCCACGCATTCATTCGATCAACAGTGCACTCCTCCTGCTTCTCATACACCTTCCATTGTGTTAGGCCTTAGGAATTCATTGTTGAATCACACACACACACACACACACACACAACCTTTTCTCTTAACCTCTACTAGGTAAACAAATAGCATATTTATTGAGCACTTACTTTGTGTTGGAAACCCTGGTGGTGTAGTGATTAAGAGCTATGGCTACTAACCAAAAGGTTGGCAGTTTGAATCCAATAGGTTCTCCTTGGAAACCCTGTGGGGCAGCTCTGCTCTGTCCTATAGGGTCATTGTGAGTTGGAATTGACTCAACGGCAATAAGTTTGGTTTTGGGGGTACTTTGTATCAGCACTCTGCTAAGTGCTTTGAGTGCATTTTCCCATTTAGTCCTTATAGTAACCCAATGAGGTAGGTACTATTATCATCTCCATTTCACAGATAAGTTTAAGTAACACAAGGCCACACAGGTAGGGGCTGGGATACAAACCCAGGTAGCCTGACTCCAGATAACATCCTGTTAAGGATGTTAAACAGGCAGCTGGATAAATGCTTCTGGAGACCAAAAGAGAAGGTAACATTAAAGATGAGAATTTGACCTTCATCTCTATATCAAACAAAACAAAACCAGTTGCCAATGGATCATTAGGCATTTCTTCCGAGGTACCTTTGGGTGGCCTCCAACCTCCAGTCTTTACGGTTAGCAGCCAAGCTCCTTAGTCATTTGGACCACCCTCCTTAGTCATTTGGACCACCCAAAACTTCATTATAAACCAAAACCAAACCCGTTGCTGTAGAGTCAATTCCAACTCATGGTGACCCTATAGGATAGAGTAAAACTGCCCCATAGGGTTTCCAAGGAGCAGCTGGTGGATTTGAACTGCTGACCTTTTAGCAGCCGAGCTCTTAACCACTGTGCATCCAGGGACCCAGGACTTCATTATAGAATGTTGTTTAAATAAGACTGAATGAGATACCCTAAGGGGAGTAGGGAAACCCTAGTGGAGTAGACCAAAAGGTCGTCAGTTCAAATCCACCAGGCGCTCCTTGGAAACTCTATAGGACAGTTCTATTCTGTCCTTTAGGGTCACTATGAGCTGGAATCCCCTCGAAGGCAGCAGGTTTTTGGTTTTTAAGGCAAGTATAATTGAAGTCTGAGAACTGAGTCTTTCAACATAGGTCAGGAGAAGAGGAGGAGACTGATGAGAGGTGTGTGAGAAAGGAAAACCAGAAGTCTGTAGAAGAAAGTGTTTCCACAAGGAAGGAAAGATTAATGTGCAGTCTGTGGCCCAGAGTATGAGTGTGATGAGATCAGAGAAATGATGGTTGGATTTGGCACTGGGCATGCCACCCTGACAAGTTTCAGTGGGGGTGAGGACTAAAGCCTCCCTGAGTGGCTGAGTGGGCTGAGCAGAGAGAGGAGGTATAGATAGTGCCTTTAGGCAACTCTTTTGGTGACTTTTGCAGTACAGGTGATCAGAGAAATAATCTGGTAGCTGGAGGAGGATGTGAGATTAAAGAGGATCTTTGTTGTTGTTGTGTTTCAAGGTAGGAACTAGTAGAGAATGTATGCTGCTGGGAATGAGCCAGTGGAGAGGGAAAGTTTGATGATGCAGAAAAGAAAAGGGCTTAAAATCTTTTTGAAGGCAAGACAGGATGAAGTCAGGGCACAAGTGGAAGGTTCAGCCTTTGATAGGAGCATGGCCTCTTCCTGACCAGAGGGAAGGCAGAGAGTGTGACACAGGGGAGTTGCAACACAAGAAGGTTGGCAGATAGGAGGGAGAAGATGGCTGTTCTTTCTCCATAAAGTAGGAGGAAGTAGATAGTTTGGGAATATTGCAAAGGTAAACCGCTTCTAATTGATGTATTTATCTCTGGTCCAAAATGAGCTCCATTACTACAGCACTGTCTGAGCTCCTAGGACTGTTAGTCCAGAATAATCTGGCAAATTTAGGGGTAAATCGGTCAATCAACCATTTGAATGGAATGGTCTCTTGTAAGGGGCAACACTGGACCAAATAGTACAAGAGATTATAGGAAAATGAACAAGATGCTCATTAGGTTTACCGTTTTTATGATCTATAAGGATGGAAAGTTCCCCAAAAGGGTTAAGAATCTCATAAGCAGAAAACCAGCCTTTTATGACGTTGAAAAGCTGCCTGTGTCCTCACTTACAGGCCTTTCAAGTGGTTAAAGCCATGAAATACGTTTTTATTGTATAATTTCATTTTTTTTAACATTTTGTGCCAATTCTAATTTAACATCACAGCTTTTTCTTTCCTTACCTTCTTTTATATTTCTTTTCTCTTATACTGAAAAGCTCGGTTCCTTAGAATAGCAATAGACTTATTTGCTTTATCTTGCAACAATCGTGTAGTTTCAAACTACAATAAGAATATTACCATTAACAGTAAACCTACTAAGCAAAGTTAAGATTGTTTTGCAGGGTTTTTTTATCCTTATAATATATCCCATGCAGGATATCCAGTCAGTGTATTGTATTCAGAAGTTTTTGGAAATCACTCTTTTCTCTGTGTGGTTATGGAATCAATTTGATATGCAGTTGAGTTCTTTCAATTATGTTTGCTTTCAATTGTAGTGTTTCCTCCTCTTTATCTTCTTGGTTTCATATTTTAAAAAATATGTAAACATTCATAACATGTAAAGTCAAAACTATATGACAACGTATGTTTAGAGACATCTTGCTCGCAAACATGCCATCTTGACTCATCATCTGTGAGCGACCATTTTTATTAACTTCTGGTTTGTTGTTTATGTTTCTTTCTACAAAAATAAACAAATATACATTGAAATTCTTATTTTTTCTTCCTTCTAACAAAACTGTGTGGCATATTATATATAATAATCTGCACTTTACATTTTTCACTTAACATTGTATGCTGGAACTCACTTCATATCAGTTCACAGAACTCTCCCTCATTTTTTTTAATGGATGCATAATGCTCCATTGTGTGGATATGCCATACTTTATTCAACCAGTCATCTACTGATAGACATTTGGGTTATTTCCAATCTTTTGCTGTTGCAAATAATGGTGCATTTTTATTTCATATTTGGGAAAGTGTATCTGTGGAATTGCTGGATCAAAGGACAAATGCAAATGTAACCTTTTAGATATTGCTAAATTCCTCTCCATAGGAGTCGAACTATTTTGCACTACCACTAGCAATGCCTGAGGGTGCCTGTTTCTTTATTACTTGCCATCGCAATATTTGCTCAAGTTTTTGGATTTTTGTCAAAGTAAATAGCTGAGAAAAAATTTTAACATGGCTTTTCTCTTATGAGCGAAGGTGAGCATTGCTTTCATATGTTTAAGGACATCTGTTTTCTTTTTCTTTAAACTATCTGTTCATATCTTTTGCCCATTGGTATTTGATCTTTTTCTTCCCAGTTTTAAGAGCTCTTTATCAGTTAGGAGATTGCCATCTTTGTTTCTGATATAGATGGCAAATATTTTCTCCCAGCTTTTCAATTTGTCTTGTGACTTTTGCTTGTTTTGTTTTCCACCCCCTTTGGTATGAAAAAGTTCTTTTTATTTTTATGTAGTTAAATTTGTCAATATTTTAATATTTTCTTTGATGCTTCTGGACTTATAATCATAGTTAAGAAAGGCTTTTCTTGCTCCTAGATTATAAAGAAATGAATTCTTGCTTTATTGTATGGTATCACATTTTACACTTCCAAAAAAAACCAAACCCATTGCCAACGAGTCAATTCTGACTCATAGCGACCCTATAGGACAGAGTACAACTGCCCCGTAGGACTTCCAAGGAGTAGATGGGGGATTTGAACTGCTGACCTTTTGGTTAGCAGCTGAGCTCTTAACCTCTGTGCCACTGGGGCTCTTAGATATCTGAACTACTTGACTTCATTCTGGTATCCAGTGTGAGATATGGATCCAATTTCACTTTTTACCAAATAGCTATTTTCTTAAGCTGAGTTCTCTAGAGGAGCAAAACCAGTGAAGTATATGTATATATATAAATGTATATATAGAGAGATTTATTTCAAGGAAATGGCTCACACAGTTGTAGAGGCTGGCAAGTCCCAAATCCATGGGTCAAGTATCAGGCTGGAGGCTTCT